AAGTCCGTGCGCTCCGGCTCTCACGTTTTATTTGCAGCGATGAGGTTGTGCAGTCGTACAGAACCGGAGCGACCGCCGCGGCGCAGGGCTTCGCGCCCCGCTCCAGCCTGGCGGGCAGGAGCAAGGCGGCAGCTAGCCTCGACGCGAAAAAGCTAATCTTCCCCACCACCTATTAACCAATGATTTAACAATTAAAATAATAATAGTAATAATAATAAAATCTAAAGCTCACGGGCCTTCCTCGAGGTGCTTCATGCACACCACGCATAGCTCGGCCTCACAACACCCCTGTGAGGTAGGTCGGCGTTATCCCAACGCGGCAGCCGGCGAACGGAGGCGAACGACTCGCACGCGGAGCGGAAAGCAAAGACGGGGACTCCCAGCTTCCCAGGCCCTCTCCTCGACGCGCCAGCCCCGCCGGGTCAAGGGCGCAGCAGCAGCGTGGAGGCGACGCCGTCAGATGAAGGAGTGCTGCCAACTTGCCCAGTATTTACTTATTTATTTAAGGAAAAGAAAGGCTCTACTTGCCAGCAGAGACTCAAGAACCACTTCCACCTTCTGGGTTGAGTTGCTGACGGGGGAATGAAAGCGTTAACCAGATACGCAGTGATGCCCAGGAGAGCTTAGCACCTTTATAGCGCTTTGCAGGCAGAGCTCTCAAGTTGCTTTCAAGAACTGGGTCCTTCCCCCTTTTTTCCCAACTCAGGGTTACTGAGGCACAGAGAGGTTGATAAAATAAAAAACAATCTTACTCCGATCCAGGCAGTGAGTCAAGTCGGCCACAGGAAGAGAGAGCAGCTTTCCCAAGCCCACGCCTGTTCCTTGAACGCTGCCCACGCTGCTCCCCAAGGGCAAGGGGAGACAGGTACGCTAAAAACATGACTATTCCCTGGAGTAAAAAAACGGTCTGAAACATTCAGGGAAGAATAAACAGAGATGGGATGAAGAGAAGGACATGCAAACAGATGCTAATTGCTGGGAACTGAAGCACACCAAGTTTGACTTGTCTGAAGCAGTGTCATCTCTTGGCGTTGCCCCACAGGCAGCAGCTCCACGCCAGCCCCACGCCAGGCAGCTGCCCGGGGATCAGGGCAGGGACAGGCTCCAAAGAAGCCCAACCTTTCACAGTGGTAGTGGGTTTCTGTTGACATTTTCCAGGCAGCGCAAGCTAGACACAAACGATTCCACCGCTCCCCCATGCCAGGACCAAGATACATACTGTCCCACTCCTGGCCTGGCACCAGGGAAGGATCTCAGGGGAGGTTTCCTCCTGCATAGACAGACAGGGCCCTCCTCGGTGCTGGGCAGGAGCCACTGCTGAGGAGCGCGCACACAATGCTCACAGAAGCAAGAAGAGCAGCAACAGTCAGAAACCTCAGGATGGAAACCCCTCTGCCGAGCGCACTGAGGGTGCCACCTCTCATGTCACATTTACATAAAGGACACACCGACGAGAAACCAACCCCTTGGAGCATCTGCCTCCAGGGCTGGTTTGGCTCTGAACTGTGCCACCACTAGAGATAAGCATGAGACTGGATTCTACCCGCGAGTCCTGGCCTCCTCTAATCCTGCCTTCCCCACTCACCTCCAAGGGCATCCAGCCTGCATTTGCTCAGGGAGCAGCGTGACCCTCCTCCTGGCGGGTGCCTGCGCTGGGGAGGTGGCTGCTAGCAGGCAGGGAAGGGAGGCCAGGACTGCGTTAGATTGTGCAGCTCTCACTAGGGTGCTTCAGTCCCAAGGGAGAACCAGCAGGTTCTGGTGACAACCTGAATGGGGGAATGCAAGACAGAGCCTTCTCCCCTGCACCCCAGGTTTACTAAAGTGGCTAGGAGCTGGTTTGGCCCCAGGGGCACCTTCCACTGTACGCTCCTTGGGGTTTTAAAAACAACAAGCACAGCCACTTCTGTTTTCATATCAGCAGCATGTCATGCTTCCAAGGTCATCAAGCCTTGCACAAACATTAACTTTGTCATCCTCAGCACACTCAGAAGAACAGCAGTCAAACGTTCAGCTTGAGCTCAGTTCAGGGCTGCCTGGTAAAGACTAAAAATGTCAATGAAAGAAAGCAAGAGCATCTCCAGCCCTTGGACAGTTTGCCTTCTTGGATCTAAATTCTTTGGTGTAGCAGCTAGGCTCCCTTGGCAGAGTAGCTAGCACAATAAGTGGCCAGTCCTATCTCCTTGGCACGACTGCAGTAGTAACAAATCCAGCTGAAGTAAGAACCTGTGTCCCTAGACCCCTATGATGGCATCGAGGGAACAAGATTTCCGTATTTCTGGAGAGGAGATGTAGGCATCAATAGGCAGAACGATGTGTCTGAAGTCCCCAAAGAGGCCTGCAGCTTTTCAGCCTGGGCTCAGATCTACTAGAACATGACATGGCTAAAAAATAGTGCTAATTTTGACTTTGAGAGGCAGAATTTGTATTCTGCAGTGGGGACTCAACACTGCCTAATAAGTCTTCAACACTGCCTAATAAGTCTCTGGTGACATATGGGTGCACGTTTTATGGAGCTGGAGCTTTGTTCTCTGCTCTGCCCCAGCCTCCCTGGGCTGTGAGCCCACGGCCCAGCCAGGAACGTGGAGGGGCGACGTCTCCAGGGGGAGAACGGAGACCCGGGAAGAGGATGCCCGTGTGCTTGCTGAGCGCTCTGACCACACAGAAAGGGCGCAGAAAGGTTCAGCA